GTTCTGTTGGTAAGAAGGTCAGATGGAACCCTGAAGCGAAGTGTTTATAGAAAGCCAATATCAACAGGTCAATATACGTACTTCTTTAGTGCTGTACCCCTCCAATACAAAAGGAACCTAGTGAAATGCTTAGCATACCGTGCCTCAGCTATTTGCTCAGAGGATGCTATAAAGGAAGAGTGAGCCACCATCCATGATCTGCTTAGTAGGAATGGCTACCCAGACAGGTTTGTAACTAAGCACATAAATATTACGAGGCTTAAGACAACAATGCCAACAGTTCCTAAGAAGCAAATCTTCTTGAAGCTGCAATTTAGGAGTGATATTGCCAGTGAGATCATTACACAATGCATAAAGAGTCTTGCATAAAGCATTCCCACCCGCTAAATTATGTCCAGCCTTCTACAACCGCCCAATTCTAGGTGCAAGAAATTAAGACAAACTGCCTGATTCTGCCACTTCTATATGCATTTATCAATTCAACTGCTCCTGTGGAGCGAGTTACATTGGGCGTACGATGAAGCAGTTTCATTATCGAATTTCTGAGCACCACCCATCAATTTTGAACAAGGGACAAATTAGAACAATAAAGAGCTCCATACTTGCACACTTAGTTGACACAGGACATCAAGTGGTTACTGGAAAAGCCTTCAAAATTACCCATCAGATTCCAATTAATTTACCTCATGGATTACGCACTCGGTTACTTCATATAGCAGAGGCGATTGCAATCCACCTTTACAAACCTAGCCTTTGTATCCAAAAGAAGTTTGTTCGACCACTTTCATTACCATGGCCGTCAACATGATGTAACTTGTAGGTTTACTTTGTGCACCTCTTCCCCTTCTTGTTTCTATCAATATTCATATTTCCCATTTTCGTAACTCTACTGATTATTTACATCATTATTTCCGAAACACCATCACGTGATTGGTAATTTGATTAAATTGTAGACCTATATATTAGTGTAGAGTCCAAGATGAAGACCTAATTGAAAAGGAATATATTTCTTCCCTCAATCAGTCTTTTTCTAATCTGAAATCACTGTAGAGATCTTCTGCGCTCAGTACAAAGAACAAGATCCCGATTTCCAACACCAACGTCAAGTCAGTGCTTCTACATGGTTCAGAAACTTGGTGAGTCACGAAAAGCACCTCCAAAAAACTGCAGACATTCGTCAACAGTTACCTACGCTCGATACTGAAGGTCAGATGGATTGCCAGAAAGAATAAGCAACAAGGAACTCTGGCTGGCAACAAACCAACCAACAACCTACCACCCAACAAATATGCAGAAGAAAGTGGAGATGGATTGGGCAAACAATGAGAAGGCCGATTGGCGACATCAAGCGCCGGGCCAGGTCAGACTCTCGAGTGGAATTCAAAGGGGAAACGACGTGTTGGGCGTCTGAGGCGAGGGTGACATGGAGGAGATCATGTGAGGAAGAAATGAAAGCTTGTGGGGAGTCGTGGAGCGAGGTTCAAAAGACTGCAGAGAAGAGAGTGCAATGGAGACGTGCTACTGAAGCCCTATGTTCTACTAGGAACCCAAGGGAAAAATAATAATAATCATATAATCGTTGAGTTATCTAGCAGAAAATATGCATAAAAGTACAGTAACCACCCGGGTTCATTACCTAGATTCCAATGTTTATCCAACAGACAATAGGAATACATACCACTACATACTGTTGTAATGTAACAGTTTAAAACTTGTCTCTCCTGTTTTTCATCATGTTTCTAGGTATATTTCACAGTTACAGTGTACTGAACATATCTTTCAGCATACTTTTTATCACATGACTAACTGAAGGACCTATATATACATTGTTTTAATCATAAGAACATGTGATGCTTACAAAATATCGATTGGTTAAAAACTGGTTTGTTAAACACCTTTTTCTTTTATATCTTCGTCAAAAGGGCAAGTGGCTAACCTTAAAGCATTTTAGTTGTGATTTTATGATACAGTAGGGAGTGTCACGTGCTAGGAAATGTTTATATGCAGATGTGAAGAGAAAATAAGCTATGTAGATTCATAAATTTCCGTTTTCTTGCCGATAGACCTCTATCTGCCTAGTTGAAAGTTTAACTTTTATGAAAAGAAAAAAATATTACTAGTAAGAGGCAATTGTTGAAATACTCAATGATGGTGAAGTGGGTGTTGCTGATCACGATAGATATAAGTAGTATATGTTGAAAGGGTAGCAGAAATCATAGGGAGTTACCAGCAAATGGGTAAGGATTTTGCCCAGAGAAACGCAAGAGACAACGTGGGCGTATTAAGAGCAAATCAAGATAGGAGCAGTAGAGGAAATGAAGCACTTTATGCAAATGAATTAGTGTAAGGTGTACTATGTTTGATGACTACTGTCTCGGATGTTAATAATAAAACATTACTTCCTTTGTCTCTGTTTTCTCCTCTCCTTCAATGGTAGGTTCGACTAGTTCCAGACAGACGAAACTCAAGTAGATCATCGTACATATGTTCCAGTCGCCCTACTTCACAGTAATACGCACTAAGAGTGATATCAAAGTACAAACTCCTACACTTGTTCAACGTACTTCATTTGTCCCGTCAATCAAATGTATATACGTATGTAAATGCTGGTAAGATGAAACAGCTACTTATTATACTATGTGTAACTTAGTCAAGAAACAAGGTAGATTGGTAACCGCATTCAGTCGGAATGTTGTATTTGCTTCAGCTGCCAAAAAAAAACGACAATAGGACGCCAATAGGCATGAGAATATGGCTTGTTTACCAAGAAGACTTAACACCATAGAAACTCACATCAGTCTGACTTATGAGAAACAGAATGATAATCATCATCTGCCATTCCTACATATACTCCTAAGTCAACGAGAAAATGGTTCAATAAGACAGTCAGTTTACAGAAAACCTGCATGGATAGGACAATATCTGAATTTTCACAGTTTTCGTCCAATACAATACAAGAGAGGTCTCATAAAATGCCTGTTTAATGGATCTATCGAATCAGTACACCAGATACGATAGATGAAGACACCTGATTACTGACCAAAACACTCATAGAAAATGGGTATCCAATGAAGTTTATAAACCATTGTAGAGATCAAGTAGCACCAAAGCCAACTCTATACACGGTTCCTAGGATAAACGTCCATACTGTATCATTTTGAGACGTGGGCTAATATCAACCATTAGGAAAACATATAACGCAGCTAATCTGATCATTGTGGAGAAAACAAAACACATGCTTCACCAAAAGCCTAAACACTCCATCAATGATTACGACACATCCTATTGTGTTTACCAATTTACATGTGTGTGGTCACACATACATAAGCAGGAGTAATCGAGTCATGCAGTTGACGGTGGGAGAACAAGTACCTGAATGGGTTCAAAAACAAATGGAGTGTGAAACAGTGATAAACGCTGATGGGAGACGACCCTCTTCATTTATAGCTAAACATATCATAGAAACAGGTCACAAAATTATTGTTCAAACAGCTTTCAAAGTTTTATATAGAAACAGTCAGTCAGGGATGTATACTGAGATTTGCAGAAACCATAGTCGTACACAAATTGAAACCACCTTTATGTGTACAAAAGCAATTTGTTTTTACAACACAACTACCCCTTAGTTAAACTTTGTTTTCTTACCGAGATTAGGCTCAACTAGGTAACTTCCTATTTGTTCTCATCTTTCCTAGATTTAATCTTTTATTGTGTTAATTGTTGTATTAGTCCCCTCACTCCTCGGTTTAATATAAATTGAGTTGAGACAAGTATATATATGTGTGATCATATTGTTCAAAATGTATTGCTGAAATACATCACATTTTTCAGATAAACGTCGTCTTCTAATTACGCTGTCGAAATCCTTTTAATGGTTTTACTTACTATACCCAATATCTATCTCATTCTTCCAATCAGAAACAAATGACTGAAACAAGCAAGTGTAACCATGATTCCACTATGGATACCAAAATATTCATATTAGTTGATGTGATCTGCACGATACCAGAATTGGCGCTGAGAGTGTTGATAAGGAAGCAATGCTAGCTAATCGGACGGACATTTGTGTCCCTAGTTTGACATCGACCATATCAGACAGCCATGTACATTCGTGCAGTAGGCAATGAGTCCACACCTATTATGGGTATGTGTATGATGCTATCTAGCTGCCAAAACCTCGGTAAGTGGGGTGGCGTTCGGACCCGTGACCAATTTGGTTCGAAGTCATCTCCTTAAACCAACAAGCCACAACTCCTGTAGTCGACTTCACGGGTGATAAAAGACAAAAAAGACGGTATATATGTATATTTACAAACCAACATTCTCTTTTCGCTCTCTCAACCACCTATATAATAATTTCTTCAACATATAAATTGACAAATGGAAAATAATACATTTCATGTAGTAATCGTCAAAAAAAAAATCCTTTATAATCTTGTTTGTAGTGAATGTTTACTGATAAACAATGCCAGAAAGAAAAACCGTTGAAAGCCAAGCAGTACAGAATGTAGTAAACATATAAACAGTGAATAAATTTGGCAGAATTCTGAGAGTTTATTGAACTCAAGAATAAGTAGTATATACTTGTTTATGTTAAAAAAAAAAAAGAAGTGATCAGTGTAGAGATGAAAGAGAAAAAGGAAGACAATATGAGATTCCATCCTATTCAGTGTTACAACTATCTTTACTCTACAGAAAAACGCGGAAGAGAATATAAATGAGAAGAAAAGGCGAGTGGAGAGAACCAGGCGAAGATAATAAATAATAGAAATCAATAGTATTATGTGTATACAAGTGTATAAATATCAAAGTTTGTAATTGACAGAAATAGTGAACTAGAAATTATGGAATGTGTGAACAATAAAGAAAAGAATTACATTAATCAATTAATTAATTAACTAACTAATTAATAATAGGTAGTAAAAGATGTCAATTTCACAGGGTATTAATCCAGAAGGCGAAAGAGATATGAAGAAGAATGTGAACAGATAATATTCACCCTATGGAATTGGTGATAAAGTTGGCACTGGACGAGTATCTGTAGATGATCGACTTCTTAGAAAACTCCATTTCTTATACGAAGATGGTATACTACTACTACCACCACTACTACTACTAGGCGGTGATACTGTGATCGGTGTTGGCGTTGTTATACTTGCTCCTATTGGATTATTAGTAATAATTTGACTATGTCGATATGTTGGTGAATGATGAATCACACCATCGAGTAATTCACTAGGTCTAGCTGTATACCAACGTCCACTTGGAGGGAGGAGATAAGTACAATGCTTTATGAGTAATTCAATTAAGGCATGCTCAAAAAGTGTTCCAGCCAAACAACTTATAGGATCAGTATAAGATGAACTCAATAGTGTAGGTGATAGAACAATGGCTAGATTACTTGTAGTCATCATGTTGATATCTTGTTTCTCAGCTACCCTATAAAATTAAAGATTTTAATTCAAATTAAAACTGTAGACCTATTAAATAAAGTGAATCATTACAATAAATGACGACAATAGTAGATTGTGATTGGAACAATAAACCCAATTCTTGCATACACAATAGTGATTGTAAGTACTTTTCATAGTTGAGAGATTATTAAACAACAGAGGAATATGAAATACGAAAAATAATCGCCTTTGAGTCCAAAGAAAAGCATCAGGAATATCGTGAACGTTCGACGTAAACCACTACGTGAACCATGTCACACACACATTGACTTGGTAATTTGCTGTGTTGTATTCATAGCCAGAGATAAGGAGACCTACAATTAATCAATTATGATGAATGTTCTTCTCCATGTATCTGTCTTTACATTCACTGTTTGACATTTTGATTAGCCCGCCTACACAATTATAATGCCATGTAAGCCTTTTCCACATATAAATAACTGCGTATTGCGTAGGCTAACCACCTGACTTCTGTCTGTCAACACGTGTGACAGCGTTAATGACCATGGCACCAACACGAATACATCAAACTCGTAGTTATTAACGGTTAGGACCTAGCTTTGGACATTTTTCTTAATCTGCTAATTATAGTATCATCTAGTAGGAGAATTGATGAAAAGCTGTTTCATCTTAGTATGAGACTCCTCAGCACTACACACGCACGACCCAGTCAGACGTCGAACTCAGGACCTTCAGGTTTCACAGCAAACGCCTTAACCATTTAGTCACTAGGTCGTATTTCAATGGTCTGCAATTTCCTACCTCTGTCAACTCGAGATATAGTGGGACTATGAACCAAGGTCTTCAGTTGACATTCGCTTCACTTTCAACCGGTTAACCCCACAAGTCACAGCTTCTAATTTGCACTTCGGTATATCCATCTGGAGGCATGTCACACTCATGAGGACTAGATAGAAATTTAGTTTGAGGTTTACGCAGATTTGATTTATTTCAAAGTAAGGGGTCCATGGGGAGACCTGAAGTTCTTGAGTTAGACCATATTGTAAAGCGGGAAGGAGTCCCATATTAAGACGAAACGGCTGTTCAGCGCTACTAGGTTTTCAGTGGTTCTCCAATTCATGTCAGTCTATGATGGTTGCTACCTTAGAAATAAGAAGATTGTTTGACTAACTAAAACGCCCACTATTTCCCTTAAATGAGCTAACTAGATCTCGTTATCGAAGACTGTTCATGGTACTTGAGTAGATGCGTTAGAGAATGTAGTGGATAATTCAAGCTGCAATTTTGTAAAGGATTATGAAGTCTTTCAAACAACTAGTACTCAAGTTGGTATTCATCACAGACCAACATAAGTTAAAGAAACATTGGGAACCTGTGAACACTAAATAGCAGCTTCGTCCTAGTATGGGACTGTTCAGCAGTGCGCACCCATGACCCAGCCAGTCCATGGTGAATTTATAATATTACTAGTCCTTTGGGTTCCTAGTGGAACACAGAGTTTCAGTAGCACAACACCATTCACTCTCTTCTATCCAGTATTTTCAACCTGGACCCACGACTCCCCACAACCTGTCATTTCTACCTCACACCATCTCCTCCATGTCACCCTCACCTCGGACGCCCAACTCATACCTTCCCATTCGACTTCCACTCAACAACCTGGCTTGGCCTGCCTTGGCCTGGCCTGGTCTAGTGCGTCATGTCCCCAAATGGTCTTATCACTGTATCTTCAATCCAATCCAATCCAATCCATCTCCACCTTCTACATAACATATCTGTTGGGCGATAGGTTGTTGGTTGCTTCGTTGCCAACCAGAGTCAGTTCCTTGTTGCTTATTCGTTCTGGCCATCTATCTGGTCTTCAGTCTCAGTATCGAGTGAGTGTAGGTGGCAGCTGTTCATGATGCATGTCTGTCTGTAGTTTGTTGCAAATGTTTTTCATAACTCAGTGCCAAGTCTCTCAACCATCATATAGAAGCACTGACTTGACGTTGGTGTTCAAAATATGGATCTTGTTTACGCTTTATGTTGAGTGCAGTGCAGTAGATCTCCATACTGATTTCAGATTAGAGGGAAGGCCTGTCTTACTTTCCCGATCCTGGCTTTGATAGGATAAATACCAACTTGAAACTAATAAATCCCCACAAACCCTCCAGTTGGTCAGGTTGTATGCAAATGATGAAAAATCTGGAACACGTAGCGTTCTCTTACTCTATATATGAACTGCATTGTCTGAAGGCATAACACCAATTCTCTGCCAGAGTATAAAACTTCCTGTTTAAACTCCAGTAACCAACTGAAAGGTGTTCACACCAAGCGTATCTTCATATATAATCTCGAAATAGAATAGAACAGAACAACCACCTTAACTCCTATCGACTAAGCCATCCGATATATATAACATGCTTTATTTTTGCATTTCATGACCGATATGTCGGTAAATGGCTACGCAGTAAGTGCTGGATTATATCTATCTGCAGACACTACAAAGATGTTGTTGTGGCTTAACACCATGGGAAATAGAAACGCTACTTTACTGGATTTACAAACGACGATGATTCTATTGTACCGAGTAACTGATGAACCAACTAAACACACTTAGCTACTTTGTGCACAATCCCTACAGTAGACAATGAGCCATAGGTGAGATCTAGTGATATTATTTGGCTGTCCAAACCTCAGTAGGCGGAGCGGAATTCAGACTGGTGACCCAAATAGTCGGTATTCATCTCCTATAACCAGTGGAGCTACAGCTTCACATAATATTCAGTTGATAAATATATTATAAATATATTACCGGCCGTAGAGAGGGACTGCTATCAACACGTATAGAAGAACATATTCTAGCCTACTTCTATAAGGATAAGGAAAGAAATGCATTATAGAAGTTATATTCTCGAACAAATGATCGATTCTGCTAAGGTTGTCTATCGAATTCGCTCAAACATCCCATGTTTTCTCCGTCTTTAACAGCTATTAGCGAACTGAGGCATGACTTTAGTGTACCTACAGTTTTTGTCTCCACCTTGGTTTTAACTAAGTTTGTCTCGTTTCTCTTTCTATCTTTTCCAACTTCTTCCTTTGTTAGTTTAATCTTTGTACTCTTATATAGTCATTATCATTATTCCCGAGGTTTCAATGAGAAGTCGTGAGCAGTGGAGTCAAAGCCTGATCGCCATGAGGACAGTTACTCAACGATGACATTAGGTGGCGGTTGGACTATGTCGTGAGCTAACAGAAGTTGGAAATATGGACCATTGGATTCTGACCCAGAGGCTTAATGGTAACGTACTGGCCACGGAACCTGAAGGTCGCCGGTTCGATCCCTGGCGGGGTCGCTGGTGCGCACTGGTCAGGAGTCAGTCCCATACTAGGATGAAACGGCTGTCCAGTGCTCCCAGGTTTCCTTTGTTCCTCCAGCTGAAGTCAGTCTACGATGAATAACAACTTGAAATATTATTTATACATTCAAGTTTCCAGGGTTACTTCATTGAATCTCTCCGAATGTGATTGCAACTTTTAACAAAACATTTTCAATTTATTCCAATTAACTTGTTGTCTTATTCAGATTACTTAATCTCATTTGATGGTTTATTAACTCTACCACGTTTTCACCCCGTTTTTAATCCATATGCGGGTAATAAACGATTCCAAAAAAAATCTTTGGTAACCCTTTTAGTTATCATTCAACCTTTACATCATCAATGAGCAACATTATTATCATGTAATATATCAAACTACACTATGCTGATAACACAAGAATTAGCCATTATGATTAATTGGATAACTTTCTGGTGTTTGAAATGGTTTGTTCTTGAGTTCCAGTACTATTGGGAACAAAATTATTCCCTAGGAGTCGGACATATGCAACTGATAAATCCCAAACAGGACGAAACGCATGCTATGAATTCCAATACTACCTACTCACTATCCATCATTAATAATGTACACCTCTTTTTGAGGTGTTAAGATGGATAAGTTTAGCATTAAGCTATGACTAAGTGGCAACTACTAACTTATTTGAAACTAAACGTTTACATTTGAAAAGTTAGAACCAAACTCATGATTTGGTAACAATAGTGAACTTACTTTTTAGTACTAAACCCTAACTAGCTATGGATACGGGGAAACGCTTGCAGAACTAACGTTATAAAACGATAACGTTAAATCATGAAACCAGATTTTTCGTTGGCTTGTATATGTTCTTGACAGCTGAGAAACTTAATTTTTTAATTCTGTCGGATAATGTGCAACCCATAGACACATATATATGGCCAGATAAAACGCTAATGAAGACAACATTTTACTACCGACCACACAATTAACTAGGAATTTAAATTAAATTTAAGTAATCGCCAAATCCCTCTGATAGGCAATGAAACTACTTCGTTTAAAAAGCCTTTTTAAGCTGGAAGAAATCAAAAGCACTTCTCACTTAATATCTATCTACTTCCTGTTCAGTTACCTACTACCCTTCAATTTTAAACTGCGTACATCAATTACATGAGAAGTGCTCTCTAAGTCGCCTGTGTGTGAGGAGGGAGTAATTTAAGTCTTCTGATACTATTGGTGTGAATAACCAGTTGACTAAAAGGAAAGCTTATAAAGCTTTAACGTTTGACTATCAGACTGAAACTAGAGGCAATATCAAGACACCCGTGCAGCAGCCCATGTACCAACAAGGACCGATCAATTCGGTTCAATCAAAGACGGGAAATTAAATAAACTGCATAAGTCACACAAAAGGTAACTATGGTGACTCAGCAACCTGGTGGATAACGCTCTCTGGAGTTTGAAACGATCGATCTTGCTGCCAAGTCTTAGTGGGAACAACACACTCAGTTGACGAGTCCCGAATGGGACGAAACTCGCGTCCTGAATCCCGCTGCTAGCCAGTATCCATCATCATGACCAAGCTAGTAAATTGCCTTGGAGTGAAATGTTTGGGAAGCTGGAAAATGATAAACACAACGAAAGTGAAACGCCCCCAACAACCGTTCAGTAAGCAATGAGGCATTACCTAATGTGTGAGGGTTAATGATACAACCTGGCTGCCCAAACCTTAGTAGGTGAACGGTGTTCGGACCCGTGATCCATTTGCTTGAAACTAAACTTCTTAAACCATCAGCCATAGCCTTGCCACAAACGTGACGAACATTAGGGTAGTGGAGAAAAAAGACAAATGAATAAACTGGCTGCCTAGTCAGGACTTCTCATCCAAATCTAACTGAATTAGACAAGGGAAGCATCAATTGATATCATTTTGACTATTTGAGATAGTTGAGGTTTGGTAAACCAATAGTGAAGATGCAGTACAACCAAGACACTTCATGATGTTATAAATATCTCCCTCATAATTAATTTTTAATTTTACTTGAAAATTGCCACTAAGCAACTGTCGAATCATATTCGCGATTATTCCCTTTCATATAACATATTCAGTGAATAACATAGTGATACTGGGTGATGATTGAAGGTGAAATGAAATTTAGACCGCGGCAGGATTCGAACTAGTGACTACCGGGTTTCCGGACCTCCCCTCTCTAACTCAGTTATATTTGGATTGGAATGAGAAATCCTGAATGGACTGAGCAGTGAGTGCGAATACGATCAAGCGGTAGTAACACGTCACAAATTCACATGGTAGTCGGACAAAACCAGCCTTGGTGATTGAAATGAAATAAAAATCTGGTCAGCAGCCGAACTTCGTAGATCAGTTGGTAGGGTATCAGGCTGGAAACCTAGTTATCGCTGGTTGGAATCCGATCGTGGTCTAAATTTTCATTTCACCTCCAATCAACACCCAGTATCAATACTAGTCTGTCAAAAACCATGGCTATTTCAGACAGTCAAAATGATGAAAAATGAGTAAACGATTGAAATTTCGCCAATTAGTAACTAGTGATAAAATCGATTAACGGAATCACACAGACCTTTCAACACCCCCCTCCCCCAAAAAAAACTGCGGTTGATGAGTGTAAAAACTACAATAAACAAGGAAACAGAATGCAACCAAAATGGAACTTAAATACAAATTATTGAATTTCTCCTTTTTACCTGTGAATATGATTGATGAAGTAGCGTAAACTTTCATAATGAGCACCCGGTAACCGGGAGAATACTTTTTTTAGTAAATCAAGCTTTTCTTGTTCTATCAGTCGCTCATCCCCTACAAGTAAACATATAATATGGCATACATTTAAAAATAATGACAAGATAACAAAATAATAAGCTAATTTAAACTGAGAGTAGAAAAAAACCCAACTATTTTCTAGTTAATTACTGAAGGCTTAGAACTAGTATCAACCAAAAACCCTACATACAGGTCCATTAGATTGTACAAGGAAATTTGATAAGGATGATAATAGGTGCCTGGAAAACAAACAAAAAAGAAAACAGGATAACTTTTTGTAAATTGCCAATGAATCTTTTCAGGCACCAATCTAAGCGGTTAATTCATCACTTTGAACCGCTCATAGATGTCAGTACATTTATGATACCACTTAGTTACTAAGATCAAAAGAAGTTGTGTAGTTAGAGCATTCAGAATCAGCGATGCTTCTATTTGAAGTGCTTTAGAAATAGTTTAGTAGACCATAATCCTGAACTCAATTTCTCTATATATATATATATATATATATATATATATATATATATATATATATATATATATGACGCCACCACCTGTACACGAAACGATGCTGTCTTGTCTAGGTAGGTGAAAGAGACAACTTCGTTTAGACTTCTCCCGTTGATGGTGATTGGTGCGTGTTGTTGTTGCTGGTTGGGTATCTTCATCACCTCTGTCTTCTCTATGTTCACCTTAAGGAAGTCCTGTCTTTGCTGCCCCTGTCTTTTCTGCAAACTTATTAGTTTTCGCCTGTAGATCTTCGAGTTTGTGCGACAAGACACTAGACATAAATCATCATCAGCGGCGAAGTCCAAATCTCTTTCTGAGGTCTTTTCGTCGGTCCAGCCACTCTTTACAGTTTGCTGCATGATCCATTCCAGTCGACAACAATCAGGAAGATGATGGGTGGTAGTAGGCGGCAACCTTGTCTTACTCCTGTCTTCACTTTAAAGGTACCACTAAGCTTTCCATTGTCTCGCATTCAACAATATACAATAAACGGCCTCAATATTTTTATTTTATGGCACTACAAACAACTACATTACATGCGTTTAAAACTCGAATCACCTCATAAGCTATTTCACAATATAGCGTGTTAGCACACAGTAAATGAGAAAAGTAACTGAACTACGAACTTACTATTGACCAGGAATGTAACGTAACAATCTCTGAGCCGTAAGAGCTTAAAGCAGAGAGAATTTACCCTAATCGCTAATCAAGAAGTCAGACACCACAACAACAATGCCACCGATTCGTGAAGGCAAGAAGAAAAGACAGATCGTTAACGGTGAGCTTTTACTGTCTCAACTACAGATAAAATAGTTGACAGAGATGCCGAATATATACATTGTAAATGACTTTGACAAGCGCTAAACTCGCTGATAGATTATGCAAGAGTTAAGAACCAGTGAGAATTCAACCTTCAGAAGCAGTGAAGATAAAAACTATCAAGAGGGCCCAAAGAGGGTGAAGAAACAGCAGTAACAGAGTTATTCTACAGTTATAAGTAAATATCGGGCAAAAGTTAGGGGGTATAATACATATGCATACTATTAGAGTAAAGAAATGCAGCCCCCCACCTAGCCAAATGAAAGTGTGGAATAGGACTTTTACTTTCAATGCATTTCATAAGTATCGATCGTAAGCAATAGTGAAGAAGTGAACGAGCATGCATTAGCTCACAAACTACATTTACTGTTTACATATGTAGTAGTCGCAATCGAATTACGTGGTATGGACGAAATGGGGTGTCTAACCAAGGATTTCAAACCAACGTCATATCTTAGATAGAAAACTTTTATCATTAAGTAATTCGTTAAATATTATCCCGTTAAAGTTTTCTCATAAGTCAAAAGCCATTTGAGTGAACAAAGAATATTCTTTTCGATAACTTCACGTTGTGTTTATCGGTACAACTACTCCTATAGAGCTGCTAGTTATATCCGCCACTGCTCCAGGAATTTAACTTTACAGGCTCACAAACACCTACCTACCTCCCAGAGTGAATAATTAAAGGTGTGGTAAAGACCATTGATCAACTGCTCCATATTCTCACACTTGGCTCAAACTAGAACTATAAGATGGATTTGGATAAGTCTATTTCCATTCTATACCACGTTCCCATGAATTTGCCTGAAGGTAAACGACTCCGAATACTTCAGACAGTAGAAGCAGTGTTAATCACGACCAAACAACCTAAGCTATGCGTTCGAAAACGCACAAATTCCTTGGTGTTCTATCTCAAGTAATCAAATCTTCGAATTCCGCACCATAGGTATCCCCCTTATCCCTATAATCTGGAATAATTCTGACAAGTTCTCTAAGCCTATTTTATTCCCCAACATGAGTAGTAGTATTCTATCAAGATATTATTCCTTCTTAGTTTATTTCATCCAAATCTCATAAACATCTTATTGTTTCATTGAACTATCACCTTATAGTGTTACACAAGACAAATAATCGTTTAGATAGTCAATTATTTTGAACTGAATCCCGGTAACGTTTACATGAGACCTTCATGAAGTGATTTCCTCAACTGCATATTAATATAATTATCAGGCTATTAAGCGAAATCTCAATGTTGTCGATGCGTCCATTCCTCAGTATCTACATATAATTCCAGAACCTGACAACAACAAAGAAGTTATCAAGACGAATATTCTTTGCTTACTCATCATATCATTTCTCATAAATGTAGTATCAGTTATTTTGTTTGTATATTCTACTATTTCCAAACTTCGCCGACTTTTTTGTCAGGCAAACTGAGAAATGTTCTTAAAATATAAAAAGAAATAGGAAATAGCTTGTATAGAAAACATTTCAATCATAAGTAAGTCTAAATGATGCCGACAGCAACTTGATTTAAACAAGAAGTTAGGCAAACGCGGTAACCACTACTACTAGGCTATGGAAATAAACAGACAAATATACACCCATCGCTTACAGCAAAACAAAAAAGCAAACAATTTTGAAGTTGTTGTTCAAACAGGAGACATCAATTCTAATTAATGATTTCCTCAAGTAAAACAAAAAAAAAAGGACAAGGTGAGACGAAAAGAGAAGACAGTTGTAAAGTGTAGAACAACACATCCACTCCCCCTTCTTTTTCTTCTCCTAATTACTTTCCCTCACCAAGAGAACAAAGTTACTTTTTTCAAACAGAAGAAAAAGATAGATGGAAAACATGGAAAACATACACATCCAAACAAAAAGTTGGAGGGGTAAATAACTGCATACAAGAAAAGTGATTCTAGTCGAATCTCCTCAAAGGTGTGCGAGTCTGCACCCATGCGCACAGATGCAGATATATGCACACATATCAGCTGACATTACTTTATAGACATATGCTACTGTACTTCGGATATGTACAGATGAAGAATTAAAGTAAACTGTACAACAACAACAACGACAGATGGAATACAGAAAAATTAAGGAAAACAGAAATTTAGTCATCGGTGTTCGATTCGTCCTCTCTCCTGACAATTAATATACTCCCTTGGTGTGTAAATAATATTGATTTGTAGAAAACACTGAAAGAAAGAATTTCAATACTTCCTTGGTAGTTGAATTACACCTACATGTCATACATAAGAATGAAGCACGTAAAGAAGGCTGTTCTCTACACGATAATTACTTACAAAAACCGTTTACTAGTGAAAATAGGCACCAGTTAGATAAATGAAACAGAATAATTGATGGAGTTGTGGTTCAATTTGGTGACTAGTAGTGGAATCCAGATAGTGCACTTCGTCCTCTTTGGGACTCGTCAGCCGGGTGTACCTGTGCTCCAATGCGGAGTGATGTTGTTTCCATTGGGACTCGAACCTCGTAACCATTGCCTCACACACTATAGCATTATCCACTAAGTTGAGGAATTCGACTTTGAATAGCAACACGAAATTAAAAGCATCGAGCAACAAGGAGTTGAAGTTCAGTTGACTTTCAAGCATCCGGGCCCGGTTCGAGCACTACTCTCCCTACCGTGGTTTAGGCAATCATCATCATCAAGATCAACATGGGACCAGACAATACTGCGTTACAGTCCAAGTTGCCACACTTCATATCACCATATCAAGTAATAATACAATAAAATGGAAGATGAAGGTAAGAAAAACTAGTTACAGGAAGTAGAAAGTAGTAGAAGAGAAGGAAGAATGAGAAAATGATGAGATTAAGTATAGCGGTTAACATCAGAATAATGTGGGTATACAACTGCATAACTGACATCCGTTCTGAGCCATATCACCTAGATTCTCCGGTGCATCTGTGTGTGACGTTCCACTTTGGTTTTGTCAGTCAGTTGCACATTCTCATCCCGAGCTACCGAATACATCAACTTGTCTTACTAAGGAAAATTGCATTAGGGTCGAACAGGGTTCACAGTGGCCAGACCAAAGACAACATCAATCGACGAACTCACTGACTGTTGGTCTGAGCCACGTGGGGAGATTTTGGTCTTCAAAACGACAGGAATCAGTGGCTGAGGACTGATTCTTTGTGACATGGCTGAGTATTTGTCACAATGGCGCAGATGTATTCATTCCTTGAATATTCGCACTAACCGTTATCTTTAGGTTGTATGTTCTCTCATACAACTTGTTCTACTTCGATATCACTTTTTCTACCCACCTGTCCTTTATATACTACTGTAAAATGTGCCAACTTCAACCAATGCGCTTGTGTGAGAGGTTCGACGTTGATTTTATCTGTCTACCTAGCAAAAAGAAGGGACAAGGCAGAGAAGACAGGACTTCCTTAAGGTGAACATAGAAAAGACAGAGGTGATGAAGATACCCAACCAGCAACAACAACACGCACCAATCACCATCAACGGGAGAAGTCTGAACGAAGTTGTCTCTTCACCTACCTAGACAAGACAGCATCGTTTCAAATACAGGTTGTGGCGTCACAGGTGAGGATGACAACGGCAGGATGAGAAAAGCAAGACAGGCCATCCTCACTAATCTGAAACCAGCGTGGAGATCTACTGTACTGTACTGTACTGTACTATACTACACTACACTACACTGCACTTCACT